TCTCCCAAAAGCCATCGTCCAAGTTAATATCAATCTAACACCAACCCCACAAAAATTACTAATAAAATAAGTAAAAGATTCCGATAACCCAACAAAATCTCCTTAATCATAAATCTATGCAAGGTCAAGCAATAGAAGTATAAAGATAATACTATTTTCTAAGAGATAAAAGAGCTTGGACAGTAAAGCAAACGGGGAGAACATCAACAAAGAACAATGAGAAAGATCGGAGAGTTTCGGTTCCCATGTACAGTAAACGGCATGAATAAAGCCACCAGTCGAAGGATAATTGGACCCTACAAGTATTCGTCACTATTCGATTTTGGTGGTTGGTCACTCTACTCAGTGGGGGTCGACTGGTACCTCATTGTCTAAGGTCACTGTACCTACTCGAAGTATTGTTGGGGATTCCCCATGGGAAATTCCCGGTTTTACATTTTTCCTACTTTTACGGTACGGGTTGTATCTCGTCGGTTTCTAACATATGTTTCGGATTACACTGAATCACCCTCTCAAAACATATTACACCTGATTTTCAACACCTCTGCTTCCTACCTAAATGTACAGTTTTACAACTGTACTGTAAATCACCTTCGTAAAATATTATCTCCTATTACCTGTGTTCCGTTACGCATCTTCGATACGCCATCTTGTATATTTAGCGCGCTACGTTTTTTGTCGAACCGAATAAGATTAACAAATAAGATTATGGGTTTAAGTATGTTATTCGAAACTGAAATCTTGTGAAATAATTCTTAAAGAAATTACGTTTTACTATTTACTAAGAATTTATTATCAAAGAGTATCAAGGTTAAATAATGAGAAAGAGTAGATGTTGAAGTTTTACAAAATATTTTATAAAATTCATGTTGATACTACAAAAATTAAGGACAACAAATAAATGCAGTAATACAGTAATGAAAATTAATACACCGTTAAAAATTAATGAATAGTAAAACATCAAAAAGTGGTGCTTTTTATTTTGTACTAAATATTTTGATATATTGCACATATGTTGTATACAGCACTTAGTACTTTATGTATATAAGAATATGTACAAATACATGGAAACATGGAAGAATATAAACATGTTTCTTACAAATTTTATAACTCGATAATATTTACAAACTAGCATCTTTTATGATTCCTAGCTCGAACACGCTATAGACAATATTTGAAAAGGATAAGGAAGATAACGCGGTGCGAGGATTATCCGTTGGTCAAAAAGGACTAACATCGAGTGGTTAAAAATGTAATACAATTTAAAGTAACTAACCGTTAAGCCAGTAAAAATTTGCATATACTTTGCCAATAAAATCGCGTTATCCGGTTCAAGCTCCATTTTAAAGGCGGCAAACGAGAACGAAGTCTTTCGAAAAACTGGTAATCCTGCTTTTTCCTGTAATCCGGTTTAACTAGAGCCAATCGTGCCGATGGTATCGGCCGTATAACGGAACGAGCGGCTGCAAACGAGAGCAATTGACGGCATCATCGACGCCATCGAGATTATATTTCCTTCTATTTCACCCCCGTGATGCGATACTAAGAAACTTATCGAGAATAAATATTTATAGCCTCGACTTCTTTTTGCTTCTGAACCCGATGATGAAACATCATAGACTTTCATAATTGAAATATCATATACTTTCATGATTGAAACATCATAGACTTCCATAATTAAAACATCACATCTTCAATAATTTTACAAACATAAAAAGCTTTGATAATTCTAGAAAAATCATAAGACACTTTGATAATTTTAGAAATGTAAAAAAATTTGATAAGTGATGTATTATGAAAAGTAGAGACACGTGGCACTCAAGAATAGGTGATATAATTGTCTTTCGATTTGGGGTGAAAAATTGTGTGAAATTCAGTGAATGTCTAAGGTGCTCAGCATTTCGGGACGAGGAAGTTGACGCAGCGACCTGGATACGTCAGAGTTACGAATCAGAATATTTATCACGAGACTGAAGCTCCTGTGGCGGCTGTGCGTTCGATAAAACGGAGACGCCCTCGGCGCCGTCGCGCGTCCTCGGCTTCTCGATACGCGTGTACCTGTCGCCTTGACGAGAAATGAAATCTAGTCGCGTGTCGATAGAGGGCTTCTATCGCCGGTATCAAGAAGTACGCTCTGTCGACGTTCCAAATCGGATAAAACGAGCAATGCCTCTACAATTCGATGTCCTATGCTAATCAACGTTACGTTGCAATCACAACCATCGAAACACACAATCATCCTATTCCAATTTTTAAAACTTATATCATGTAATTTAACCTTTGCTGATGTATCGGCTACTTTTCATTTTTTATAATTTGTGCAAATATATTTTTTGTCTTTCGCAATTTGTGGACAAGTATTCTCATCTATTTCTGACTGTTTGTGAACAATCGGTATTTTTATTTAAGTATCATATAAAGGTAGCAAGATTGTCTCCTTAATATTGATAGCTTGGTACAATTACTTTTGGATATCAATAGAACGTATTTTTGCATTGCAAATATAGTAGAAGGGTAACTGAAGAAATCAAACACAAACTTATTCATCTCGATAAAAGTCAGTACATGTCACTAAAAGCACCATAATAGTTTCTGCAGTTAAATGTAAGACATGTATGATCTGTTATTTTGACAGCTTAGGGTTACCGGCCAAAGATCCTGCATTTGAATATGAATAAGGTTGAAACGACACGTCAGAATCGTTTAAGAGACGCGTATTTCATGCTGAGAAATATAAAGTTCATCACATAAAAGCGTTTCATCAATAAAATAAGTTCCAAGTTTAACGAAACTCATATCTTTCAAAAACATGTAACAAAAATGAAGCAACAAGAAATTGTGAGTCAGATCGAAGAACAGAATGTAAGAAGAAGACGAAATGTCCTATGGACTCCATTTCCTTGCGTGGCAGCTATGGTACCTCGAGCGAGTGCGAAACAACCCCCGCAGACAGGTCCCCGAATCCCATATTGGCGAGAAAGGCAACGAATCCCGGTAGGTCGTCGTTCGAATTGCACAGAACGATACCATGTTGTAAGAAACATCGCGAGGCCGACATGGTGACAAACAGAGCCGAAAAGCCGCAGCGGTATCGGTGAGAGTGTCGTCGAAAGCAGTTCGTCCATCGAGAGACACGGCAGCAGGAGCAACAGAAGTTACGGAACGGCAGCAGGAACGGCAGCAGTTGAACGTGGGGATCATGCCGTGTTCCCTCTCCTGTTTCTCCCACTTTTTGCACTCTCCGTCCCACTTTCAGAGCGTCGCATCGATCCTTCTCTCTCCCTCTTTCGAGCATCTCTCTCTCGGCTCTCGAGAGAGGGGGCGTGAGAGACGTATCTGGCGGGAGCACAGGGATCCCTGGCAGGGGTACCAACCTGGAGGTGAAGGGTGCGCAACGAACACGAACATGAACAGCACTGTAAGAAGGAGGGGGTAGAGATCGCGAAAGGTGGGGTGGAAACGGTGGTACTGGCCACACGTGGAAGGGATAATTAAACGGACACAAACGCGAACACGGACACTGTTGTACGGAAGGACGAAGAAAGGTTACCATGGCTACGTGGATGGGATCCGGCCAATCCCGGTCTGGCTGGTAGGCGTGGCCTCTACATTGGCCCCCGAGTCGCATATCTCTGTCTCTTTCCCTCCAGCTACCCCTCCGCGGTGGTGTTCCCGTAGGCAGGGAGAAAGGACGAGGGTTCGAGGAAGCGGGAGCGAGAGAAGACGAGATAGAGGTAGGTCGCAAGAGCCGGCGGGACTACCCGGTTGCAACGGGCGCGTACAAACG